CCTATCCTCCCCCTTGACCTGGGACAGTAGTGTAGCAGCACAATATAAGAACAAATTGTAAAAATCAGTTGGAAAAGGCTTGTGCCTTGTGCAATGACAAACTATAAATACACAATATCAACAGGATGTTGGACCATAAGCTTTTGTAAATTTAAAGCATATATTTAGTTATATTTCAATTCATCAAAAATAACATCAATATAAGAACCGATAAAAATAATATTCAAAGATCTTACTAGAGTGTTAAATTGATATCCTTTAAGCATATGTTTATTTAAAAGATCAATGAGTTTAAGTGGATCGCATCTAAAGTTAAGGGCTTTATAAACAATATGACGGTAAAAATTAGAATGTGATATCCTTGTTTTTGATAAAAATTCTACAGGTCCATCAAAATCTTATCTTTGTATCTTGTTTAGGCTATGAAATATTTAGTTTTAAGTAATTCATGATACATGTAACGAAATCCCTGACTTCATAATTTACCAGTTATACATAGATTACGTTCATTGAAAGTTGTAACGTCACTACAGACACGAGTATAGCGAACGAATTGGGAAATATACACACCGTCACAAAGGACAAAAGGAACATCACCGTCCAAAAATGGAAAATAATAATAGGGAACGAAAAATTCTCTCTTTTGTCGTAAATTTTTGTTTGATTTTCTCGTGCGAAACTGAAATATCCAAATCTAGAAGAGAACAATTATAAGAATGTCTGTTAATTTTAGACCGATTGTTTCTGTTAAATTTACTGACTTTTTTTTAGAACCGGGACAATTTAGAGCTTGATATTGTACATATAGACATCATCTGTCTAGATGTCTTTTTGTTGTTTTTGCTGTTGTGTTGTTGTCTTATTGACCGATGACGTATACCTAACATGTCCGTTTATTCATAAACATTACTGTGAAATGGTTTTGACTTCTTAACATTTTTTCATCGGATTTGGTTAAAACTTGCCCTGGTTCATGACCAAATATACATGTATAATCATCAGTTTGCAACTTTGCTCATTCGTGGCTCTACAATCTGTCGATACCTGTATCTTGGCATTGCACAATGCCATGTTTTTCTCTGACTCTTTATGACGTCTTTACACTAAATCCATTGGATGTTGGATGTGTACTGATTGATATTTTAGTCTTAAATGCATGATTTTTTTTATTAGTTGTTATTGGCTTTGAACTAGTTGTCAGTAACTGCGAGTACTCTCAGATCTGTACTTAGTGTCTTTTTGATGTGGGGATGTATAAGTACCCGTCCACGTCCACTCTGTGTTTTTGTTTTTCTAATTGTTTCCATCTGATGAGTTAAGCGTTTTTCAACTGATTTTTATAGTTTGTTCGTATGCTGTACTGTTACACCACTGTCCCAGGTTAGGGGAGGGTTGGCGCCTTCAAACGAGTTTAACCCCGCCACATTCTGTATGTGCCTGTCCCAAGTCAGGAGCCTGTAATTCAGTGGTTGTCGCATGTTGCTGTGTAACATATTTGTTTTTCGTTCATTATTTTGTACATAAATTAGGCCGTTAGTTTTCTCGGTTGAATTTTTTTACATTTTTCATTTCGGGGCCTTTTATAGCTGACTATGCGGTATTGGCTTTGCTCATTGTTGAAGGCCGTACGGTGAACTATAGTTGTTAATTTCTGTGTCATTAGGTCTCTTGTGGAGAGTTGTCTCATTGGCAATCATACCACATCTTCTCTTTTTATATTTATGCAGACATCTCAAACTGAAAATAATTATCAATGTTTATTTATTGGAATTTGTTTTCTGCAAGCAACGTTATTATATAGAAACTTTGCGTAAATATTTTGTTTTCTGTAAAATTTTGCTCATGACAATACAATAATCATTCATTAGTGATGTTCGTTCACTTATCATGTTCGTACTTAACAAGTTTCATAATGCTTACCTATATTCTCTATATGCTATATACTGTCATATGAATGCATCCAAGGTTTTATCACAATTACACCAACATTTATATGAGCTTGTACTTTTTGGAGTTGAATCCATAAAAAGATTTCGAATGGTTACGGTGTATTATATAGCTGGCGTGGCCGAGTGGTCTAGATGTGGGCACAAGTCTAAAAAAATTGCTGTAAGGTATCAAAATTATGGGTTCGAATCATCTGTATATAGATAAAAAAAAAAAAAAGGAGTAGGGGCTGATGTTTCACAGACAGAATATTCTTTCCCGCCTTTTGCCAAGGTCGGCTTTTTATTTCCGTGCGTGAATTTATCTGTTTTCGATTTTGTTAACATAGATTCCTACAAATAAAATTGAGCATGGAAATGGGGAATATGTCAAAGAGACAACAACCTGACCAAAGAGCAGACAGCAGCCGAAGGCCAACAATGGGTCTTCAACGCAGCGAGAAAATCCCGCACCCGGAGGTGGTCCTTAGCTGTCCCCTAAATAAAATTGTGTACTAGTTCAGTGAAAATGGACGTCATACTAAACTCCAAAACATATAAATGAACTATAATTAAAAAACATACAAGACTAACAAAGGCCAGAGGCTCCTGACTTGGGACAGGCGCAAAAATGCGGCGGGGTAAAACATGTTTTGTGAGATCTCAACCCTCCTCATATACCTCTAGCCAATGTAGAATAAAGAAACAAATATCAATACGCAAAACTTACATACATGCCGGATGGAACTCACATTTTCATACTGACTTCGGGAAGATTATTTATGTTACGCTGTTGGAAAATCCATTGTGTACACAGTTATTTCAGGTAAAACATCATGAATATATCATTCACATTGGGGCAGAATATATATTTTAATCCTGTTTTGGGATATCAGTATTTATGATAAAATGCAAGAAAATTATTTTTTAATTTTATACAGTATACATTCATGTTGTGCCAAATACTTACATACATATGCGCTAGCATATTCATTTTTATCCTATCTTGATTTGTCAACGTATATTTGTTCCACCTAATAGAATTTCCCCTGGAAGCTTTGTCATAAACAATACCATATTGATATCTGTTCCTCTTGAAACAAATATTCTATAACCTTTATTCCGTTTGGAACAAATACTGCAATATTTGTTCCAGTGGAAATAATATTCCATAATATTTCTTCCGTTTGGAACTTATATTTCAAGAAAAATTGAGGAATGTAATTTATGTTAAGCTTGAGGAAAGTCATTTGCACTTTTGTTTGCAATTATTTCATGCCAAAACACACATATATGTGGTGCTCAACACTTATTTTATCTTCTCTTGAGGAAGAATATATTCCGTTCTTTCCAGACTAGCGTATTATTTTCCAAAATCCACTTCAAAATGGATCACCATTAGTCAATAATTCTTATATGATTTGCATATCTTCGATTGGTCCGTTAGAATTTTGTTCCCTTGACTTTCCGATAGACCGCCATGTTGCCGAAACTTTCGGAACATATGTTAACACTATGACAATACATTAAAGACAATGAAGAAAACAAATGATTTAACCCTTGCTTCATTTATCATCCTAGCAGACCCTAGACATATAATGATCATAGCCAGTGCAAAGATGTACATGCATGAAACATGCAATATGAGTATACTGAGTCAGACAATCAAAGAATCGCCCTTGTATTTAAGTGTAGGCAGAATTATGAAGACAAAAAAAAAAAAAAATAAATGATTAAAACCTTGCTTCATTTAATATATCATCCTGGTAGACCCTAGCAATATGTGATCATAGCCATTGCATAGATGTACATGCATGACAGGTGCAATACGAATATATTCAATTCGGCAATCAAAGAATCGCCCATGTTTTTAAGTGTTGACACAAATGATCGATCGAGGTACATCATGCATAGGAATCGGCCTATCGACAGAGACCTATGTCCATACTGACTGACCATTAATTGGTTCAATAATTCATAGAAAATATTTGTGATGAGATCTCTGATAAGGCTAAAGTATTACATCAGTGCATGTACAAAATAAAATAAAATGAATCAGTTAACGTTCACCATACCACCTTTTTTACATCATCTGCCCGTGGTGCAAAGTTGACTATCAAACGATTTGAATCCTTAAAAATGTATAGGAATCTGATTACAGTAGTTGTCGTCTGTTTATGTAGTTCATACGTGTTTCTCGTTTCTCGTTTTTATATAGATTAGACCGTTGGTTTTTCCGTTTGAATGGTTTTACACTAGTAATTTTTTGGGGCCCTTTATAGCTTGCTGTTCGGTGTGAGCCAATGCTCCGTGTTGAAGGCCGTACCTTGACCTATAATGGTTTACTTTTATAAATTGTAACTTAGATGGAGAGTTGTCTCATACCACATCTTCCTATATCTATAGGTTTTTTTTTTTTGACAAAATTGACCCCTTCCATTTTTTCGGAAAAAATATGAATTGACTAATTGTCAAGGAGCATTTGCAATCCAGATCTTACCAATTTTTATTACATTTCCTCCAAAATCTAGTGATTACATGTTCCTTGCCGTTGATGCATCTTAAAGCGACAACCCACATTCACCATTCGGTGCCAAATTTTTAGAAATAACGACAAAATATGGAAAGTTACGAAAGGTTTAGAAATCAATAAGCACTAAATAATGTTTTCCCATCCATTTTTTTTTGTGTATTTCGTATATATAATATTCCCAACCCGCGCCATCTTTTCACTCTGAGTAATAATGGGGATATTTTCCAATTTATTAAACGACATTAAAGGACTCTTTGACGTGGGCCAACTTTATTTTTCCATATTTTTGTAACACCATTGTATAAATACTTTTACTTCTGCTAAACAGATCACATCAATTTAATATATGGCTCAAAAGTATGATTTGACAGTAACTGACTTTTTTTTTATTTTCGAATGAAAGCCTTTCATAATTTTAACATTGTTTATGATCCAAACCTTTGTTGATACGATAGAAAATAATGCTGCTTACAGTAGAAAATAGTTTTATCGTATCACATTTAGTATGTATTGAAAAGACAGGATTTTAATTTCCAAATAATACATCATGTGTGACGTGATCGATTCTGTTGTTCAGAAACAGGTATTGGTATGTACACGTTTATTCGTTAATTATTTATATACACCCATTTAAACCACAACTGGAACAGCAATTCATATTTTCATGATTAATCTTGAATCTAGTGTTATACGGGGTAAGTTTATTATAATCAGTTAATCCACCCGCTCAGCCGGTAGCGTAAAAAATGGCGTGTATAGGGCAACTACGTGTCGTAAACATCATTGATAACCATAGCGGAGTGGGGTGGGGCTCATTCCGTTAAGCTGCCAATATTTATAATAGGAAAAATATTCCATTTCGACTTATTATAATTTTTCTGGTTGTAAATATTTATTTAAGGCGAACTGGGTCTCGATTTTCATTGACCAATAATAAACAGGTTGGAACTACTTACCGTGACCAAAGGGAATAACGGTTATAACCTGTTCGGACTATGATAATATCCCATTTGCCATGGAATATAAATTTCCAGTGCCCAAAAAATATTTGGTTTTGTTGAAAATATTGTGAAAAGCAATTTATCAGTTAAAAGATTAAAAGGCAACAACTTTTGGTTACCAACATTTCTGAATACCCGGATGGTTGTAGGCCTATGATTGATCACCAGGGAAATGGAGGTTTTCTGAGGGATCAACATAGGAAATTATTCTATTTCTGGAAAATCCATTAACCAAAAGTTGCTGGTACTGATCTAAACGAAGGCACGTTTGAAAAAAAAAAAAATAATGGAATAATTTAAGATTTTTTTGCACTGTATACTATAAGGGATATTATATATCCCAAAATTTACGTTTGTGCTTGATGCAATATTAATTTCACATAACTATGTACTTTAATCAAAATTGAGGATCAAGAAAATAACCATTCGGATATATATTATTAATTCATTTATTTAAAGTAAAGTAATCATAGTTTAAGAACAACTTAGATAAACTACTAGTAACAATTATATATGCGACCCTTACTACTTTTGAGACGACCACCTACATTTTACCTGTCTGTGTAATTGTAGATAGTTATTGAAAAAATCTAATAGGAGAGGAAAAGACAAATTAAGAGATGCACTTATTACCCATATCAAATTATTTGTTATTTAAAAAGAATTAAATGTCCATATGTTTGAAATTTACAATATGATTTGCTAGAAATATTAATAGAGTGTATTTGATAGCAATGCAATCAAACTTGTTTTCGAATCCCATATTTGAATTCTATGTAAAATTGTACTTTTTCATTGTTATAATTTTTCATTAATAAATACTGTTTAAACTAAGGCAATAAGTTTGTCTAAAAAGGATGATCTCGAAAATCCATTTTCAATTAAAATTGACCCAATTTTTTTCCCACCTAAAATGAAAATTTCAGCTTATCAAAGACGAGAGCAAATACGAATGAGTGTTTTCTTCTAAACTCTAGCCATAATTCTACTTAAATAGATTGTGAAAAAAGTTAAGTCACTGTTTTTTATTCTCGAATTTTCCAGAGAAAAACTCAGTTAAAAAATAAAGTTTTAACCATTGGCAGGCGCGGATCCAGACATTTTGAAAAGGGGAGTTTCAACATGAAACGTTCACATAATTAAAAAAAAAAAAAACAAAAAAATTGAAAAATTGGGGCCCCCCCCCCTGGATCCGCCAATGATCACATTACTGTCGATTTCCCAGTAATTGCTTCAATACTATACAAACCTTGAATGTGCAGAAAATTAGATTCAGTTTACGGAGTTCATAAATGATAACCTAGAGAAAAAAATGTGACTAGGAAATAATTTTTTCGTTTCAAGTACCCTTTTCCTATCATATAAAACATTTTCATCAGTGATGATTTTTTTGTAATATGTTGCTATGGCAACGGGATAATTTAAAGAATTTGTATTGGAATCACTCAAAAATAAGACCCAATTTTAGTCATATGTATATGGAAATCAATGCCAAAAATAATATAATGTATATTGTATTCTTGATATTAAAGTTTTCACCATTGGCAGGCGCGGATCCAGACATTTTGAAAAGGGGAGTTTCACCATGAAACGTTCACATAATTAAAAAAAAAAAAAAAAAAAAAATTGAAAAATTGGGGTCCCCCCCTGGATCCGCCAATGATCACATTACTGTCGATTTCCCAGTAATTGCTTCAATACTATATAAACCTTGAATGTGCAGAAAATTAGATTCAGTTTACGGAGTTCATAAATGATAACCTAGAGAAAAAAATGTGACTAGGAAATAATTTTTTCGTTTCAAGTACCCTTTTCCTATCATATAAAACATTTTCATCAATGATGACTTTTTTGTAATATGTTGCTATGGCAACGGGATAATTTAAAGAATTTGTATTGGAATCACTTAAAAATAAGACCCAATTTTAGTCATATGTATATGGAAATCAATGCCAAAAATAATATAATGTATATTGTATTCTTGATATTAAAGTTCTATGTGGTTTATAAAAAGAATAAAAATGGGTAAGCATTTAGGCTTATTTTTTTGCTAATGGTTTCAACTATGCCCTCTTTTCTTTTTGCGAAGTCTGCCTGAAATTGTCTGTGGACCGAGATGCCTTGCTGTAATGCTGATGCTCATCTGCCAACCTTAATACATTATTTTGTTTCCTAATTTATCCGTTTATAGCTGGAATATGTCAATTATTTATTATTTGAGACAATTAATATGCGGTTAAATGACTATTTGACTTTAATATTTGTAAAAACTATATATGGCATAATCGCTGTCAAAAAAGATATTTACTCAGGAAGTGTATTTTATGTTAACTGGCAAAACTTTTTTCGGGACGACGTTTGTGCTCCATATATATATATGTAAACAGAGGACTAAAGAGTCTATGTCGCTCACCTGGGATCTATGTGTGTTTTCAACATCGAAGACAATAATATAATTCATGACCTGTATTTTATTTATTTTCTTTCTCGGATTTGTAAAATTGGATGAGGTAGCTATACTGTACATAAGTTTTAGTGATTCCTGTTAACTGTTGTATGTATTATTAATGAGAGGCTCTAAAGAGACCTAGGTCTATGTGCTTCTTCAACAACTGACTCTCTAACATTGCAGACTAGAATATGATTTATGACTAAAATCTATTTTTGTTGAACTTTTATTGGTGTTATTTTTTTTCTGTTTACAGTTTCTCTCTATCTTCTATAGATTTTGCCCAAAACATAGAAAAGGTTAAAAATCGTCATTTAAGGGCAATAACTCATATAAGAAGGCAACTGACAATTTCATCTATGCTGACCTTTTTAGAGGCCTTGTCTTGCAGGTCTTGTTGGCTTTTTAAACGTTTGGCTTTTGTCTAGAAGATATTTATAATTTATTTTTTCAAATAATCGTTTTACCTATACTATCAAGAATACAATATGACTCATTTTATAAAAAAAAAAAATTTTTGACATTCCATTCAAAGCTCAAAAAATTAACATGATCTCCGACTAGTTTTACAAAATAGTCGACATGGCCGAAATCATAAAGCGAATCTGTAAAGCAGTTTAACGACTATTGATACCAACATTTTCGTTTTTTACCATAATCTTGAACACCAAAATAGACAAAGATGCAATTGAGAGAGAACTAGGTCAATATTTATTCCATAGCTAATTTACATTTGTTAGGCTTTTTAATCTTTTGTGTTATGTATATTTTGATTGCCCATTTGGTACTTCTCTCCTTTTTGCACTGAATTAATATCAAAATACATCTAAATCACCACTCTGTGCTATCAAACAATCAAAATGTAAAATCTTAGGGATTTTGAAAACCCATTAAAAAAAACCTAGATTTACCTACCTTCTTCCATGATTTTTTTACGAGATGCAATAAACACTTGAAGGTAGTAAACAAATATCGTAATATTGGTTGAAACCTATTGACAAAAGACTCAAACTATCACGTATTTTTTTTACAAGAAAAAAAAATTAAAACAGTTAATTTACTACTGGGTAAAGAATGTTTACTTAACATTGTTTATTCAAACATTTCACATAGATTCCCATTTTCAATACAAAAAAAAGCAAAGCAGTTATCTTAAGTAAGAAACAAGATTAAAAATGTAATCAGATATTTTGGGATAATCTGAGAAAACATGAAGTCGTTTTTAGCTCACCGGGGCCCGAAGGGCCCCATGTGAGCTTATGCCATCACTTGGCGTCCGTCGTCGTCTGTCGTCGTAAACTATTTCAAAAATCTTCTCCTCTGAAACTACTGGGCCAAATACCTTCAAACTTTAACTTAATGTTCCTTAGGGTATCTAGTTTATAAATTGTATCCGAAGTTTTGATCCATCGACAAACATGGCCGCCATGGCTAAAAATAGAACATAGGGGTAAAATGCAGTCTTTTGCTTATATCTCAAAAACGAAAGCTTTTAGAGCAAATCTGACAGGGGTAAAATTGTTCAATTGGTCTAGATCTATCAGCCCTGAAATTTTCAGACGAATCAAACAACTCATTGTTGGGTTGCTGTCACTAAATTGGTAGTTTTAAGGAAATTTTGCAGTTTTTTGTTATTATCTTGAATATTATTATAGATAGATATAAACTGTAAACAGCAATAATGTTTCAACTGACCGCTTAAGGAGTTATTGCCCTTTAAAGACAATTTTACACAATTTGTTCATCAAGTTTGCTAACATTTAAAAATCTTCTCCTCTGAAACTACTGGGCCAAATACCTTCAAACTTCATCTAAATGTTCCTTAGGATATCTAGTTTATAAATTGTATCCCAAGTTTTAATCCATCGACAAACATGGCCGCCATGGCTAAAAATAGAACATAGGGGTCAAATGCTGTTTTTGGCTTATATCTCCAAAACTAAAGCTTTTAGAGCAAATCTGACATTGGGTAAAATTGTTCAATTGGTGAAGATCTATCAGCCCTGCAATTTTCAGACAAATCGTACAACCCATTGTTGGGTTGCTGCCACTAAATTGGTAGTTTTGAGGAAATTTTGCAGTTTTTTGTGTTTATCTTGAATATTTTTATAGATAGATATAAACTGTAAACAGCAATAA